CACAGAAAAATTGGAATATCATGAAAAAGAAAGAAACCACTAGTTGCAATCGGCAACAACCAGATCAACTGAGACAACTACAGCTGATGAAAATGTATGAAAGCTGTGAAGAAAAACTCTAAAACAGCTGGCTCTGAAACAACTTTCACAGTGCAGAGGTAAAGGTATCACAACCTACTGTTCACAGAAGACTTAAATAGTTAAATCATAAAGGCTATACCATAAGATGCAAACCTCTCATCACCTCAAAAAAAAAGAAAGGACAGATTGCAGTATGCTAAAGAGTACAGAGATGAACCAGAGAAGAGTTATGGAACAAAGTGTTATGGAGAGATGAGACAAAGATAAACCTCTACCAAAGTGATAGCAAGGTGATAATGAGGAGAAAGGAATGAACTGCAGACAATGGCTTGAGCATGCATGATCACCTCTGGAACTAGGTCACTCAATCTTAATTGATGATGTTACTAATGACTATAGCATAAGATGCTTCTGTACACTTCTGAAGTCATTCTTGTCTGCCTATGTACAAGAAAAACATCCAGGCTCGTTGGCTGGCACTTCATATGCAGCAAGACAATGATACGAAACACACTGCCAATGCAACCAAGGAGTTCATCAGGGGAAAAAAGTGCAACTGCTTAGACTGACCAAGTCAACCTCTTGCTTTAAATCCAATCATGCTGAAAAGGAGACTGAAGTTAGTAACCCCCAAAACAAACAGCAACTGAAAATGGCTGCAGCAAAAGCTTGGCAAAGCATCTCAAATGAACCAAGAGTTTGGTGATGTCAATGGGTCACAGGCTTGAAGTAGTAATTGCTTGCAAAGGATCTGCAACCAAACCCTAAGCTTTATACTATTTCAATTAACTTTAAGATAATTTGCCCCAATATTTATGCTTACCTAAAATGGGGGGAATGGTATTATTCAAAAATGTTAAGGCACATATGCACAGAAATACCCAGAAATAAATGTGATATGCTATACATTAATAGTCGATACAATTATTCTGACATTCTATACATATTCATCTTTTCATCTCAAATCCATATTACTTAAATATACCATTTGGCTATACCATAATATACCATAGTCATTTTGACATCACTGTCTCAATACATTTGGATGGCAGTGTATATCACAAACTGTGCAAAGCTAAGAAAAGGAAGCACCAATCCCGTCTGGCTCCCTAGTGTAACAGTAGGAACTGCAACCTGTGCCTTAGGAAGTTATATACACTAATAAAAATGCCTAATGAAACTAAAATGACATTTTTGGCAAACAAGACAAATAAAGCCACTGAAGTAGTGTCAACAAGACGTGTCATCCCTGCCAATCCTTTAAATAAACACTTAGTACATAGCCTGTTCAATATATTTAACTATCCCAAATCTTGTGTTGCAAAGCATCTGTTATTTTTTTTAAAGATGTAAGCATGTGAAATTTACACATTCCTGTTTATAATGTTTCTGTCCACATCGTCCATCACTCCAGACTCAACATTAACGATACATCTGAAATGACTGCATTTTTTACCGATTTCATTGAACTTAAACTGGTAACATTTGCAGTAGTTTCCTTTACTCAAGTGACATTGTTTGGTATCATGTACACAACACACTACCATACACTGAATACAGCACAGCTCCACCAAAATTCTTTCAGTCCTTTATTTTACCAGATAAGTCAAATGAGAATCGATTTACAATGACAATCCGGTGATTCACCGGTACAGCAATCTGAGTGAAGTATCTTACTCAAAGGGAGAACATCAGCATCCCATCCAGGATTTGAACCTATGACCCTCCAGAGCCCTAACCTCTACTTCCAAACCTCTTGAAGATTAGACAATATTTAGGAAATATCATTTTACTCTTTAATGCCGATATCATTTATTATCTAGAGTATGCATTTAATATGAACACATATTATTTGATTAATCATTAAAAGACAACTATTTTCCACATTTCACTGAAACTGGGAAATTACACCCAAGGACTAAGCTGTGAATTAGAATTATACTAAATGCCAGCATTTGAGAGAGTCAGATCTTTATCTTCATCACTGAAGCATGAAGTAAAGTTACAACTTTGTACTCAATTTCTTCATTCAATGTCACTGCATTTGCTTATCTTTTGGTATTTCCACAGTTTGTGCAGACTACACATGGCTACATGGGGTGTGTAAAGGAGAGTTCTGAGTATTTTTCAAGCTGCGAAATTACACATATAAGATTAAATATCTTTGCCTATCCCCACACTCTGCAGGACCTTGGACAAACCAGGTCATAAAAACATATTTCTCCAGTGATGAGAAACTGGAGATAAATTCCAATAATAAACTAAAATACATTTCTTCAGAACATTTTGTATTTCTGGACTGAGATTACATTTTCAGAACTACATTTCCAGAGTCAGGTGCTGCTAATAAACTCCCAGAATTTAGACTTAAACCTCTAAGAGTAGCTGGGTCTTGCACAAATTGTAATGCTATTTTTAAAACATGTACAGTAGAACTATAGAGATCACACATGATTCCTTCCAATACATTTCTATAAGACTAGCAGGTGGTTTTTCAGGTAAACCCTATGTAAAGTCTATACACCTTAACAATCACATATAATATTCAATACATCATGTGCCGAATCTTAAAAAGGACCAGTGGAGCTTGCAGCAGGTCATGTTGACACTGCTGCAGCAATTTAAAGACCACTCAGAGAAATAATGCACACTACAAGAGGAGCCAAAGAGTCAAAAAGAAAACTTGGCAAGAGTCTGAGAAACACTTGTCAAATTTGTTCTCCCTTCTATTGCTATTAAATGAAATGTGAACACTACATGATTTTATCATACGCGCATGCTTTATCTGTACCATTTTTGTCTTCTGTGAGATGCAACTTATTTTTTGTCCATTAGAAAAGGAGATTCCAAATGAGATCAAACCTTGATCAGTTAAGTGACAAGAATGATTCCACAAGAAGCCACAGTATGACTTATTCAAGACTAGGTGTACTGTAAGAAAGGTTCACGGCTTCTTAATGTGCTTATAAACAACAACATCTGACCTTTTTTTTTAACTGCAAGGAGGTTGTACACTTCATTTTATCCTCTCAGATTTACAGCATAAGATTCAGTATCAAAGAGATATGTAAGAATGGCAACGGGACCACACATTTGCAGTAAAGAAGGACCTCAAATTGGAGAACTGAAAGGACAGTTTCCACACACCAGTGTCTCACTTGAAATAAAAAAAAGTAAATCATGAGGTTTTGAAAAAGGCAAAGACTCATTACACAAGCATTCTGTTTTACTGCTTCATTCCACAAAGTGCAACAAATTAAGAACTGAAGCAGTTCTTTAAATTTTAACTTCTGTATTAAAATGGTCACTGCCACTGTTCAGATTTTTTTTTTCATTTTCATACAATTTGTTATAAGATAACATTTAATATATAAGATTAAATATTTTAATTTTAAAAGATGAAAAATTAAAACAGTAGTGTCTAATACTTTCAATATTTTAAGTTGACAAAGTGGGCCAGCACTATTTACCTAGACTACAATCTGAATTTGCCATTGTTTTCCTTCACCTGCTTTAAATGTGGCTACAATAGGCAAACAAGAATGATAATCTGTTACTAAGACCTAAGAAGCACAATTACTGCTCTAGGCATTGTGACTACAATACCAGTATGTAATGAAGGCAACCAACGGACCATGAAAACCATCCACGTTTTTAAAGACTATTCGTTTTTGCTCGCTTTAGTATATATATATAGCACAAATATTCCTCCACGTAAAAGTTTTCATTGCTGCAATGTTTAACCATGGAATTTAATTGACCACATTTTTAATACAGTCAATAAGGAGACCAAATAATTTTAATACAGTGGTTGACATGATTCACCGGCAGAGAATTTGTTGCAGTGTAATTAAAACTACTAAATAGTGCTAAAAACACACGTTATTTCTACAGCTTTACCTTGCTTACATTATCAAATCTTGCTTAAATTAAGGAATTCTTTAGTCAGAAATCAAACCTATACCGTTCACGGCTGTAGGTAACTCAACTATCGAATGAATTCACCATTTCACTAGATGATGTGCAAATTTAACAAGTTGGGCCATTTTTGTCTGTATTTCGTCCAATAATAAAAATGCATCACTTTCATACCAATCGAGCAGGGCAGAGTTCCGCAAAACCAGTGTGCTTATTTCTCTTCATCGTAATCCATGCAATCTCCAAACGCCATATTCGAATTCATAACACAAGGGATATACCAGTTTTATTTATTTTATATATGTACATATTTACCAAGCACGTCATCAGTGAAAAGAAAGGCTCTTCTGAACTAAGTACAATAGCAGCGGCAACAATGCCTACAAGATTCAAATGCAAGTTACAGTAGCCCGAACATCGAGGAATATTTCTCTGCGTATTACGACAAACCAAAGGACATTTTACTTGATCTGTACAATAAAGAAATATATACATATCGACTTAGCCTAAGTACACAGTTTTGTCTGTACAGTCTTAGTGTAGTTATTGCACTATATTTCTTCACATTGTTCGTCCCACCCTTAACGTCAAGACCAACGCAGCTAGTCTTATTCCTGCAACAGCCGCTGCGGTTTAAAATCGTCAGATTGAAAGGTGGTTGCAATTTCCCTCGCCCTTAGATGTTTGTCGACCTTTAACGTAAACGGCCTGTACAGTAACCCTCGACCGAACACAAACCGGCAAATAATCATAAAGAAAAACTGGACAAAATGGCACTTCCTGGTCCAAAATAACGTTTCTATGTAACCTACTAAGAATAAAAACTCCAAGGTCTCAATTGCTTTTCCATTATGGTATTAATCACCAGATCACAAATGATTCAAACGCAGCAAATGCACTTTCTCCTTTTTTTTTGGAATGGGAGAGGATGTTGGCATTATTTCAGTACCCCCTCTTCTGTGAAACAGCTACCAATATAGATATTACGACTGTCAACTCACCAGTTTATCGGTGTTTATGTCGACAAGGAACAGGGATAAGGAAAAGGATGGTGTATTTGTAGGCTATTAATGACGTCTTTCTAGTCCTCTTTTCATCCATATAAAATAAATAATGCCGTAATCCCGAAGTGCCTACTGTCCCTGCTCCGCCTGCTGGTGGCCATCTTTAATCCTCAACATCCCAACAACACAGCCAGCTCCAGCACTGCTCCTTCACTGCATTCTGGGTAACACAGCACAACCCTCTGTGTACCAGTGGCACTGGTTGTCGATGAGGGAATAGGCTCTTGAAATACACATAAGGAAAACACTGACATCTGCTGCCGGTTAAAAATGTGTCTATAATGTATAGGTTCTGCCCTTAACCTAAATTAAAACCTTATATCAGTATTACCATTCATCCAGGAAAATACATAATATATTGACTAACACAAAAATCTTTAACGACAGATACAGCATAAAATGTAATTTATGTCATATATGAATTATATTATTTCAAAAGAAATGCATGTTATTTAAACAGTATATGTATTTGAATAGTGTTAACAAAAAGGTACTTTTAAGAAGGGATAATGATACACATACTGTATAATTTCATTTTTGTCTGTTACTGAAAGTGACTTTTTGTTATTTGGGTGGTTTTAAGGAATTTCTTAAATCTACAGAGAATTTCTTTGCTTGTTTTGTTTTTTTTGTTTGTTTGTCACCTCCAAAACATGCCATATAAAATCATGATTAATTGATTGGTTGGTTTTATCTTGTGCTTTTATACAGTTAACACTTGGATCTAAACACTTTCAAGAAGAATGTTAAACTAAAATGTACACAGTTGCAAATGGATTTTTTTGCAAATTATTTAAGCATGACTGAAGGGAGGTGTTTAGATGTATATATGTGTTATACCGTATCCAGTTTTTCACTTATATTGATGTTGAAATTTATTTCATTTACATTATTATCCATTTTTGTCACATGTTTTGCTGTTTTCAGTTCTCCAAATGCACTTGAGTACTGGTTAATGTGAAGTTCATTGGTCGTGTGAAAACTGGTGGTGAGGAACTTGTGGCATTTCTATTTTTACATTGTCCATTTTTCTCAATAGCAAATCACACTTCATGTTCACAAGTAGTATCTCAACAAGCATAGCTCATCCAAAGCAGCATTTAGTGCTTCCAGGCGTGATAATCTGAGTATTAAGGAATGGGTAAAATGTAAGTAAATCTTAAGGGATGATCTCCACTACAATAAATCCATTTTCTGCATACATTTCTTCATATAGCTACCCCTTATCTTTTATCAAGAATTATTCAGTTGGCAGCTTCTCTCTTGTCACTTTCCTAATCCTCATTGTACAGCTCCCAAATCCAGACCTTGTCCTGGCCCCATCCAAAAATGCTCACACTTCCAGTAGGTGGTTGAATCTTCTGTAAGGTGCCCACCACAACCCAGCCCTCTACCACTCCCATCCCGCTCTTCAACCTGACAATAACATATTTATGACATCTTCATCTCTTTATAAATGAAACATAAACACAACCTTTAAGAAAGTAAATAAGATTTACAAAATAAGGTTAATAAAATTGATTTTATTTTTACATGCCTTTAAAAGCATGTAAAGCAACATAAGACAAGCATTTTGTTTACCAGACAGGCTTTACAGAATTAATTCATGGCACAATGAGGCTGTTTTTCATTTTTGTTTTGGAGCAGAATCATAGAGCCTGGTGTTAATAACTAACAGCTATTCTAAGTAAACAGGAAAGCAGCTTAGATGTATCATATGATTATTGCACAAGTGTCTTGAGCCTGCCAGAACATTTTAGACTGTGAAAAAAAATGCTGTATTAAGATATGTTTACAAGTAAAGATGCTGGTGATTCATTTTACAGATTATGCCTTTTTGACAGCTTTCTAGAGTGAAAGAATAGAAAAGGGAGGTTAATCAAGCCTTGAGATTATAAAACATAAATTATTAAGTAACCATGTCTTTAGTCACTGAAAGGAGGACAACCCGGCCACACATTATTACATTCCACAAGAATTTGGCAACCACAAATATTTATATATGTCAACAATTTACAAGTGAATGTGAGCAAAAACCAAATGGCCACTTCACTCTTGGGTTCTTGATGTTTCCTGGCTCACTCTGAGGTTTAAATGTGCAGTACTTTACATATATATTGTATACATACTGTATTTAAATTTAGTAACCGGCATGACTTTAATGCTACACAGCCAATGACAATGATTTTAGGATTGAATTAGTTAATGTTTTTTTTTCTGTTCATGAACATTTTACTATAATTTGTGACATCAATGATAATTTCTGATCTACTTATATTAATAATTTAAAAGGTTTCTTTTAAAAATATATCGGGAAATTCCTCTGTATTTAACAAAATCTGAAAATGTGATATAAAGTTAAAGCTATAATTTCACAAAAAATCCAAACTAAAGTGTAGACTAGTGATGTTCAAATATTATATATATATATTATTCATAGTTAAACATTACTTGTCATACAATGCAGAAATATATTAAACATATAGACATGATCACAGATGAAAGTAAAGGTTACAAATGAGGATGAAGCTAATCTTTTAGTACAAAAAAGAGATGGAAACTATCTCTAGTTCATATCAATTACATCAATTGTTGCTGAATTACAAAAATCTAAATACATTAATATGCTTGTTGCAGAGTAATGATGTCATTCCTCTAACTTAATGCAATCTAAGTTAGATTTTTTATTCTTGGTCATGACATTTTTAACTACAGCTGCCACCTCAGATAACATTACAAACACTTCAAGGGCAGTGTCTGTATGTACAAAGTATATAAATATATATGAGTCATTATAAAATGATGGGAGTCATGTCTTAATGTAATGAATACAATGGATATCAGTAAGATATTTAGGAAATCATACATATTCCTGTCCTGTAAAACGCAGATTTAATCCCTGGCATTTTTTGTAGCTTCAGGGTCAATCAGAGGTTCAATTTATTTGATTCAAAATTAGAAAATACGGAAGGGTTATAAAGTATGTACAATTGAAAAAGGGGATATTAAAACTATAAAAACAATTAAATAAAGTCCTAACACCAGTTTGCTTTGCAAGCAAATTATGAAAGTCAACAATTATAGACTTCAGGCTTGGCATGAAAATATACAGACACACAACATTCACTACTTTTCTGTACTGATATTTACAAATCTGTGAGAACCAGCGTCCTGTTTTACAGACACAAGTACATAGAACATTGTCCTGCAACTGAGGCACAAATACCACATATGGAAAAGAGAAAACCTGTTTCTTATAACAGAAAGTCTCAGTTTCCCTCAATACTCACTTAAACATATGCTTAACAAAAGGCAAACCTTTTCCCTATTCCAAGCAGTACATCACTAAATAAAAGAGAGATTTTTTTACCCTGATAGATACAACAAAAATATAAGTCAACTGTCCTTTGTTGATCCTTTTGATACTGAAAATACCTGGAAATTCTGTAGTGCAGGATTAAAGAAGGTTCCCCCTCACAGCAGTGTGGCATCCAGACTGTTGGAGGCTTTCACTGTTGTTATTTTACTTTTTACTTATAATATACATTTGGTGTCCTTCTGTAAATATTTTACAAGTTATGACTGGCATGAAATATGTTGAGGATGCAGCTAATGGACTTAAAAAACAAAGGACTTTGTTGTGCGCATCACAATCCTGACACCTGATGGAGAAATTAGAGACATGCTGTACAATGTACTACAATGCCATCAGAATTATATATTTTTTTGTTGTTTGGGAAAAATATTAACTAAATAAGAGAAAGTGGATCTTCAATTGATCATTTTATCAGTTTTTGGGTAGCACAGCCATTAGTTCCTAATCATAAAAAATACAGTACTTTCTGACATTACAGTTTCATCCTTAGCCTAATAAGGTAGCGAAATAAACATAAAATGTGATCTTCACTTACAAGCAACATCACTCCAGATGTCTGTTTTTGCTTCTACAGTTACATTGTATAGAGCATAAGACAATAAAAAGAATGCCAATTTGAGTAGGCTGTTCAACCCATCAGGTTATTCTGGTTGTTAGTAGTCTATTCATCTAAGAATCTCATCCAGTCATTTCTTGATGGTTCCCATTGGATCTGCTTCAACAACAGGAACGTTTATTCTAAACACCTACAGTCCTTTATTCCAAAAAGTACCTCTTGTTAAAGTCCTGGCACAATTTCAAGAAAAAGATACAATGTCATGTTCTTAAGCCCTATTTGCCCTTTAGCAATACAGTAAATCTTTGAAATTTCAAAGACATTTCATGTATCCTTTATCACATTCTTTTCACCTTCATCCTAAATCCAGATGGAGAAGGTCATGGTAGATTTAAGGCTCAGTTTTCTTCTAAAAAGAAATCATTAAATATAATGAGCAACAGCCTCTTGTATGTTCAAATGCTGTCTGACTCACAAGAATTTGGATTCCTAGCGTATGCAGATATAAAATTGAATTTGCCAAATGTGACTACTCCTACAACAGCAGCTGTTACCTGAGAAAAAGTAAAAGTATTAAAAAAAATATAAAAATGAAAAGTGGTGAGAAAGAATTTAGTAAGAAAATGTCATGTATTTTAATTATTCAGTATTTTGTACTATTAATATAATCACTATTTTTTTTACTTTTAACTTGCTGACTATGACTTGATCTTTATTTTCCACCACCAGTTACATGATTTATGCTTGTTAGATCTGTACAATATTGAATTTTGCAGCTGCAAGCAAGATGGGTGATGTCCCGTCTGCAAATAGTGAGTTTTGCCATTCAACTAATGGTCCCATGTTTCATTTGACTTTATGGTTAAATGCATCCCGTTCCATATGATACTCTAAAACCAGCTCCTGTCGAATACAACACATTTGTGTTGATAAGATAGCATTTGCATGGTCCACCATACACAAACCTTTGTATTGCTGAAGCATGTGGATAATCTCATTAGATAATACCGTAAGTTAATTTCTGGGTTGTATGAGTGTCCCTTATTCAAACTGCTCAATCTTTGGATGGAAAAATTTGAACAAATGAACCTAGAATGATTCTTCATCACAGGGGATCATTATATGTAGATTAAAGGAACCAAATTGCTTAAGAAAGGATTTGATCAAAGCAAATGAAATTCTAAAGGGTATAAAAAGGTTCAGACACAAGTGTGAAATAAGGACACGACTCACAGTTGGAATCTTAATGGATATTTATTTAAGCTGAATAAAAGGAAATGTCTCCTTACACAAAGACTTGTAGGTGTCCAATACAGGCTTCCCAGTCAGGTAGGTGAGGCTCAGCCACTAAACTCAATCAAGAAGCAGCTAGATGAGAGTTTGTGATTCACTTAGCTACTAAACTACATAAAAAGCAAGACAGATAGCTTTTTCTTGTCTACAACCTAACCTATGTTCCGAGTTACTGGACTGGCAAATGGCAAAGTTGTGATCAGAGTGTTTCAATAGGAGGTACTGTATTTTGGAGCACTGCTCCCTCACATCTCTTAGGTCATGGGTTTGATTCAGGACTGGAGTCCCTTCTCTGTGGTGCTCTTTCCATATTCAGTTGAGTTTTCTCCAGGTATGCTGGTGTCCTCTCTTCTTCTAAAGACATGCTATGCAATGTATGCCATGCTAGGAATTAGTTGCTTTCTGGAAACTGATGGATAAATTCTACAGGAGGGCAATCAGTATGTTTACATCAAAGGTTATTTATCTGGATGGGGCTGTAAATGTACAAATGATTATGCTCAGTTCATTAAAATATTCAGAGAAATACAGAGTGATGTATGTACTCAGAACAGAAAATAATCAGATTTTATAATCACTTGTTTGCAAGAAAACAATTATATTCATATGCAGGCAATGAAAACAGCAGAGGCAATATTTATTGTCTGCAGAACCTTTTTAATTTTTCTCATTCTCTGACAACAAAAGTTGTGGGCATTTTGATAAAAATACTGTAGTTTTGTTGACTAAAGTTTAAAATGGAAAATCTCTATTAACACAATACAATTAATAAACAGCTGTCTCTGTAAGATCTCTCAGCCAGTTAGTGAATTTCAAGACCAAGGAGCTTTCAAACCAACTCAGGGATAAAGCTGTAAACAGCACAGATCAGGAGAAGGGTCTAATTTTTTTTCAAAGACACTTAATATTCCACTGAGTAAAATGAAGCCAGTCATTTAAAAGCAGAAGGTGTATTGTATCCCACTTATGCTTCCTAGATCAGTCTTGTTCAATACCCAAAACTAGATTGAACAAAACCATCTCAATTCCCACATGGACTTTACAACAAAGTATTTAAGTGATACTGCAAAAAATATGGAAAAAGGTTTTGTGGTCAGAAGAAAAAAATGGTATTACATCTGGCACAAAGCCAGCACAGTGTATCACTCAGTCAACACCATCCCTACTGTCAAGAAAGGTGGCAGTGAGTTATGGGGCTGCTTCTCATCAGCAGGAACTGTGAAGCCTGAGCTTGTTAAGACTGAGGAGAGAACTGATAAAACAAAATATAGGGTAATCTAATTTGGGCAAATTTAACCTGCTAAAGGTCTAAAATTGGAACAAAAATTCACCTTTCAGAAACTCGATGACTCAAGAAAAAAGTGAATGTCCTTGAGTGAACCAATAAGAAACCTGACATGAATATGAGTCAGTTTACAAAGAGCAATGGGAGAAAACTGCATCTTTCTGGTTAGCAAAGGCGGTAGATACTTATCTAAAATTGCTACCAAAAGTGGGTCTACCAAGTAATGACTCGATGGGGAGAATAGTAATGCAACCAACATATTTTAATTTCCTGTTTTTGTCTTTGTATTTTTTGCCAAAGCAGTGATACACTTCATGGGGCACAATTATTAAAAAGGCCCATCATTCATTTTGGCAACAATGCAAAACAAGTTGAGTCAGATGTAAAGACACCTGGCACTCCTGAAAATCAGTACCTTAGATGTGCTTCCAAAAATAACATATTTTGCCCACATGTCCAGACACACAAATCCATCAGTTAAAGTTCAATGTAAAGACAGTCTGAAAACTGCCCCTAACAGCTCCGAGCTTCACTAACAGATGTTTCCCATCAGAGTATCTTAAGGTACAACCAGTGATATGAGTCTCATCTAAAGATGAATGATGACACAGGTCTGCGAGTGGTTTTAGTTTGTTTTCTATACCACCAAAATAGAGTATTCTGAAATATGGGATCTTTCCTACAATGTCAAAGACAATCAAACTATTTTAAGACAAGGACAGCAGTATTAAAAATCTTTAAAATAAAAATCAATTATTTGGAAAATAAAAACAACATTAATGGGAGTATCAGTAAGTGTAAAATGTGGTCTTCCCTGATTATAATATTAAACTTAAAGAATCAGCAATTAGCCACTTAATAAATGCTTGAATATGCAAACACATATAAGTTATACATTAATACATTCATAGACCTTACAATCACTTCTAATTTCCATTAATACAGTTTCATATAAGCCTTCCTTTCAATTAAAAAATGAATATTCAGCTTACATTCTAGCCAATCAATGAAGCAGATTTCAAGTATCCACACAACATTTAAGCTCTTCAAATCTTCTTTAAGTTATGTACCTAACAGAATATTTTCAACATAAACAGGACATTTGTATTTATTTCTCAGGAAATACTGTCAAAGAACACCTTTTCACTCAATGAAAACGTGCAAAAAAGAACAATATTTAGTATAGGCTAGATAGAGATGTTTGAGCTATCAGCAAGAGTCTAAATGCGGGCTTACTCAAATTTTATACTTTCTACAATCTTGATAATAAAATACTCTTTTAAAAGCTAGACATTAACTTCACATTTTTAAAATTCTTATACAAAAGAATGGTGCTATTTAAGACTTTGCAGCATCTTTATTGAACTCTTGTTTAATGCAGCCAAAGACTGTATGATAATGTTGTCTGTCGGGAGCCATAAGGTCAGTGACAATCTGTATGTGGTCCACCTTTGGCAAGAGGTACAGGGCCACCCTTGCAGAGACTGATGTCAGAGCCTCTGAGAACTTGACTGAAGACTCAACAGGAACAATGACATCCCTTGTTCCATGAAGTAAAGTGAAGGGCGGGAGGCTGAAAAAAACCAAGACGGTTTTTAAAATGGATCAAAGTTGCTTCTGTAAACAAAAAAGTAACGTGACTTACCTCTTCACATTATCCTCTGCAAGTGCTTTTATAAACAGCGTAGGTGAATAATGATCAAAGTTTTCCAGTTCACCCATGGCTTTGTGCATCGTGGAAACATGTTCTACTCCTCTCCATATTTCATGCAGATAATGGTCCTTGATATGATACACGCCACTCAGCCCTGAAAGGATTTATTATATTAAATCAGAAACAGTTGAGAATATGCATGGCTCCAGCTTAATATATATATACACAATAAATTTAAAAACTGTTGTACATATTTTACATACAGTATATATGAAATATATGTAAATATATACAGTATGTATATATAGGAGGATGACCTATATTTAAACTGAAATATGTTACTGAAATGAGTAACTATTTTTCTACAACTAAATTGCTTTTATTTATGTTACATGTAATTGGCTCGATTTCACAGCAAAAAAAAATCATAGTGATGAAAGTATACAATTAAAAATTATTTTACGATGTTGTCATTTTCAGATAAATGGGGGGACAAAACACTTTGGATACAGTTAGCAAAGTAGATTATTTTAAGGAATGCAAATGTCTGTAACTGTAAGCGGCATATCAGGGTTAAACACTTTCTCTGTATCTGGTATCTACCTACAACGCCTTTGACTGATAATGCAAGCTCCTTCTGCTTTGGTACTTCAATTCCCAGATTCTCATATCCTGCAGCCAGAAACGCTGTTGTCAGTGCACATAAATGGGCACCAGCTGAGTGGCCAATTAATGTTATACTTTCCTAAAATAAAATCAAAACAAATATATAATGTCAATTATTATGAATGTACACGTAATCCATTGCCAGCTATGCAATGATAGACAATAAAGAAACAATCAAAGAAAAAACATGGGTCTCAAGTTGGCCTGGGAAAAAAAGATAATTTCTAAGACCAGAAAGTGGTTTTGGAATAGACAAGAGTTGAGATTAACAAACAGTGCCTGGATGAACCTAGGAAACATTTTAATGTGTAAATGCTGTCACGTACAGTAAAGCATATATACAGTATGCGGCTTTTAGGACTGTGGATAATGTTTTATTCCTCCTCCAGAAAATAGGTTAGAATGACATTAAATGCTCACACATTTACTACATTTTAGATAACAGTGAAGAGCAAAATTAGACCAGAATGAGAAATAATTTATTGGTGTATACTACAGATTGAACATGTGGAAGAACAAAAATGCACAGTGGTACTGAAAGCAAGGATCTGAGTTAAACACATTCAAACTGATGAGTAATTATTTCCACAAGTATAATTATACTGTAATATACTCTGAAAAGCTATGGTGGACATACATGAAGCTTGAAAAATAAAAAAAAACAATCCTTTAGTACTGTTATATTTTCATAATACTTCAAAAATTAATTTTAGTGTATGTTTTATGCACTAAAGAATGTTGGTGTCTGAAAAGATACAACTGGACAACCAGAAGACATTTTTATAACTTGCCTTGTCCAAGTTAAACATATGACAATTCTCCCTCACCCATAAGATACTATCAGCAATGTCTTGAACCATCTCCAAAACAGTTCCCTGAAAGTAAGGAAAGACTTCATTTTAATAAAAGATTTTTGTGATTATTATGTAGAAAGTCAGGATTTTTTATGTCTTATCTATGGGATGTTGTATGAGTAAAGAGAATAAATTAAATTTTAGATAACACTTTGCAGACTTTCCCATAAAATGGTTTTGTTTTCTAAGGAATATTTAATAATTTACTCAGTAAATTATGCATAGTCCTATATAAAAAGCACAGGAACTGAAGGAAACTTCATTTATTGCAATAACTATTCAGTTACTGTATATCCAATATTATTGTGACTGACAATGTCAGTGTAAAGTGCGAAATAATTTAAATTTTTTCAAATAATGTATTTGTCTTTTAATGTTAGGGCATTTCCAAACAAATCTGCACAGCAGATCCACTGAAAGGGTGATGGCTTCAATGCTAATCAACCAGTGCTGATGTTTCACTTTATAACTACTCTAAGAAATAATGCACTTAAAACCCAATACCATCTGTTTGTTTTATGTATCGGTAGAGTATAGCTGTGCCATGAAAACTTTACAGGTGCTGTTCATTTTGGAACACATAGCATCATAACAAAAGCAGGAACAGACCAGGGCAGAACTAGGTAAGCTTTGATATTTCTCGCTGTCTTTATTATTCTATCTTCTGTCTTTACAGTACCTCCAATTAACTAGTTATGAAAGGTAAAATAGAAAGTTTTTATAAGTCTTTAAAACTGATGATAATTGTCATACAGTACCTTTGGATAAATTGAGTAATCGGGACAGACAACAGATGCATTTAACTCCTTTGCCATTTGCAAAGCCAGAAGACAATAAATGGATCTCTTTCCAGAACCCCATGCACCTCCATATACAAAAATAATCACTGGTGATGCAGAACAGTCAGGCTGGTCCATATTTGGTGAATAATACAAATCCAATTTGTTTCCATGGCGACCAAAACGTATATCCTGTTTAAAGATAGTATACAAATTGGGAGTAAGTCACTATTATAATTCTATGTTTTCTGACTACTGTAACTAAATATTTTTAATTTAGAAAAGCCTAAAATTAAAAATCTGTATTACAGTTGCTGATTTTTGTTTCATTACTTAATTGACTGTAAAGCTAATTAGAAAATCTTCCTCTTTCCTACTATTTCCATTATGATTAAAGATTTTTACATCACTTAAAGGGCAATTGCAACTAGTGAACAGGAAGGGCTGTTTTCACGTCACAATTTGCGTGAGCTCTTGCTCTCCCTGTGGGGTAACCAACGGTTTCTCATCTGCCTGTGACATGGCAAGCATATAGTGCTTTCAGCAAATTTAACACTTAATTCGAAATTTGTCAATTTCTGCGATTCTCTTAATTTATTTTATTCATCAAGATTTAATAACCAAGCAGAATAATTAGAACTACAGTTTTCCTTTAATATCTATTAAATAACAGAAAAAAAGGTTTTCTTCATTCACACCTACTGTACCTTTTCACAATATGAGTTATTTGCAATGTTCTTGTACCAAGAGTTCCACTGAAAGTAAAGTTTGCCATACTGAAGATATTTCATCATTTCCAGCATAGCTACTGTTAAACAATATACCCGCCTGAAGAAAAGAGAAACAGATTTTTCATAGAAAACAGACAATAAATACAAAGCCCAAAGCAAATATCTGCTTGTCCATGTTAATTTCTCATTATTTTTTTTCAGTGTTGAAAACTCATTGTGGTGAGTGAAGGACTTAGTAAGCACAGATTTAATAAAACAAGTGGTAATTAGGTGATGGGCAGATAACACTTTAAAACAGAAGGGTAAAAGAAGAAATACCCATTTGTATAATTTTGTTTTTTTAAAACATATGAAGCATATTAATTTTCAGATTCACAGAAAACAGGTAAAGTGTGTACATTGCAATGTAAAATTACACCAGTCTATAACAATATATCCACAATTAATATTTTGTAATAAAACAATACAACATACCACTCAGTTAAGAAAATTATTTTTAAAAAGATCAACATAATTGCTGCACCTGGGTTTTAGAGCTTCTATATACTTCCTGTATCCTGGTTTATTAGGCCAGCCATATATCCACTGGACAACAAGTGAAACACTACAAGGAATGCCAAGTAATAACACCCCAGCTGCTATGGGAAGAGAAATCTGATTCTTCAGGCCCATTCTGGAAGAAACACAACCATGCAAAGTGTGTTAAGAAGCTGTCCCACACACTCTTAAATTTACATAATATTACCTTCCTCAGGGCTTACTTTTGCATTTGTTTTTATTCATTTTAGATATTACATGGTACAGTGTGTATCATGCCAGTTCATGGGAATTAAAGCAAAAAACAAATAGCACAGAACTAGATGTTACACATACAGTATTTACTTACATATATGTGACAAAGTTCTTTGTGTTTTCACTAATATGTTCTTATGTAGCCAAACAGGCCAAATGGCCTCCTCTTGTTTGTAATCTTGATTATAAGGAGACAAGTAACAACTTTCATAGTGTGTGCAAAAATGTCTTAAGTGTCATTTAACAATATCAAAAATCTTCCTTGCTTTTAAACATCACCACCCAATGTATATTTAATGCTCTATGCCTTTTGTTCTATATCAAATTAATCTAATATTTTTCTACATTATTCAATTTAAGTATTTATAGATGAATCTATCCACACAGAAAATAAAAAAATACTTCCTATGCAGATCAGAAATCTTGCACGGGATCCTGAAAAATCCCCATACAATCCCATTCGGGAACTGGAATCTGGCCAATACCCTGTACAGAAATTGGGTCTTGTTCAATATCTAGTTCAAGAAGAGAATTCTAGGGATACTCAAGTGAGGATACAATCCTATTTCAGATCCTATTACAACCCTACCTTAATCCTAAAAAAATTGAATCATGATTAATATTTTAATAAATGTCGGAACCCAAATTCGAAATGGATTTATCAGAACTATCAATAAAATAGAAAGACTAAGTTTCTGACAAAGGAATTAAGAAAAGATGAAAAGATTGTAGAAAACTAAACTTCATTGTCAAGCTAAACAAAATATTATTTATTTGCTTAGGAGATACCCATATCTAAAATACATACAGAAAGTTCTAAAAACCATATAAGGCTCAGTGGTTTATTTAAGTAGCTTACATGTAATATATACTGTAAAAACATTCATATGACACATGATTTATACAGGATGCTCCCAAGGAACATTTTATAATGTAAACTTTCATGGGTTTTTATTGTACAAGGATCTGTATAAGACTCTAATTAAAAATCACCTGAAAATATTACTAATGAAGACCCCCTTGATCATACAGGATCTTAGGGCCATTCATACAATCCTAGTTTCCTGTATGATCTATAGATTCCCAAACAGTCATCATCATCACATTACTTTCAAGAACCGTTTATCAAATTCAGGGGCATGGTGGCCTGGGGCGAGTTCTGGGAAGCAGTGGGTGCAAGGCAGGATACACCCTGGATGGGATGCCATCTCCATCCCATGGCACAAACAGACTCAAACTCAGACACATACACAACATACATTCACACCACGGCCAATTTTACAGAAGCCAATTAACATACCAGCATGTCTTTGGACTGTGGTAGGAAACCAGAACACCATGTGAACTCGGGGAGAACAAACTCCATGAAGATAACACCCCAGTATCTAAACACAGAGCTCCATTGCTAACCACTGTGCCACTGTGGCACCTTTTCTCTGTGAGATGTGCTCAGTCTTGAGCAGAATCTAACTAATCCTATATTATCATCTTGGAGATTAGAATATTAGACAATATTTAGACAACATTCAGAATTCATGCTGTATGCTGAAAGATGCTGTACAGTACGGTACTGTACAGGATGTACAGTAGGTAAAGAATTTTACAAGATCTAATACCAGATCCTGTAAAAACTTTCCACCATGTCCCAAAATTCTGGATAGGAGGCAGAAGAATTGCTCTGGATAAATGTGGATTTACCCCCAGGGGAAAATATGGCTTTTGGAATTTACCCAGAATGTCCCAACAAACCAAACAGTATGAAAACATACAGTACCAGCATTTGGAAATAAATAGGTGATAGTATTTTGTTTTGGAATAACAACTGCAGAATCAATAAATAAATAATCCAGTAAATAATAACATCTGTGATAGTCAAAATGTCCTCTTTGGACTTGAACAGTAAGATCTTGTAGTATAAGATAGAATAGTGTACTACATCCTATACTAAGATCTTGTGAAATATTTTATTGCAATGGAATTGTATGGGATCGTATTAATGATCTTGTTTAACATTTATACAATAGAATTAATGTCATAATTATACCATAAATCAACACCTGAGAACCTTCTTCATGTGCTTTTAACATGCCCCTTTATACTGATATTTTGGATGGAGTTTGAAACTTACAAGTAAGAACTGAATATCAAAGTCTTATTATACTTGAAGACACATCTAGTAATAACACTAAGCATTAATTTCAATCTTGGTGGCAAATGAATATATGTATTTTGCTAACCTACATGAGTATGTACCCCACCTACCTTTTATTGGATCAGAGGAGGCAGTCAGTTAAGATTTAATTAAGCTGTGTTGGAAAAAAAAGGAATAGATTAGCCCATGAAGCTTAGTGCTCTTCCTCATGAATTATTTCAGCAGCACGCACCAAATAAATTATATTGATAATAATAAATTCCTTACGCTTATATAGCACTTTTCTGTACACTCCAGTTAAAGCACTTTACAGGTAATGGGGACTCCCCTCCACCACCACCAATATACAGCACCCACCTAGATGATGCGACGGCAGCCATAGTCTGGCAGTACACTCACCACACATCAGCTATCAGTGGGGAGTAGAACAAAATAATGAAGTCAATTCATTTAAGGGGATTAATAGGAAGCCATGATTGGTAAGGGCCAGGGGGAAATTTGGCCAAGATGGCAGGGTAACACCCTTACTCTTTCTGAGAAAAGCTCTGGGAAATTTAATGACCACAGTGACACAGGAGATAATTTTTACTCTACACTTTTTACAGTATAGGATCCCTGTCACTATACTGGAGAATTAGGATCTACACAGACCACAGGGTGAGCCCCATTAATACTTCTTCCAGCAACAACCTTAGATTTCCCAGGAGGTCTCCTTTCCAGGCACTGACCAAGCTCACAACTGTTTAGCTTTAGTGGGTTGCCAGCTGTGAATTGCAGAGTGATATACAGTACCTACATTCCCTATGTGGGACATGTCATATCTTCAGAGACTCTATCTTATATGCAGTATTTAACTCTCTCTTGTCCAATATATGTGTAATTTTCAACAAAAATTACAATATATTCTGATTCCTCTCATGATTTAATTAATATTTAAACATGATTTAATTTATACTCATATTGTGTGAATATGCTTGTAAGAAATTATAATGAAATATACATGTTTTTTTCTATTAAAAACTTTTGGATTAACTGAAGTGCTTTAAAGCAAAATGCCTCTGACATTATCAAATTTAGACAAGGCCACATTAAGACCACAAAATATTTTAGTTCCATGGTAAGAGATTTGTATAAACAAGACTAATAACTACTGAATATAGCCTTGACATCATAACAACAACAAAAAAACTAAAAGTGGATCATAAAATAATTCAAAATTGTGCCAGTTATCAATAGCACAATATCAGCTCACTCTACAGTGGTTTACGCAGACATTTAAAATATATTTAAATGGACATTAAACGCATTTTTTACGGAGTCACGTTATATGAGTGTCCAGAAAAGCACTATATAAGTGTAAGGAATTATTATTATTGTTAATTATATTTAAAGGTTCAAAGCCTATAAAACCATCTTACGTTTAACATTTTTCTCCCATTTATCTGTTATCGATAAGTATTATCCCAACAATGTTATTGATGCAGTATTTACCCCTCTCTTGTACACTGCCATGCACAGTATGGATGGCTAATACAGAATACTGTTATTAGCAACATTTCCTTCAGTATCAGAATGTACAGTTCTTTTTCGTAAACTGACTTGAAATGTACAATACGATATCCATCAGCAAGCCTCTTGTCATCAAAGTATAGCTAACATTAGGACGTTTTGGAATAGATTTAAGAGAACCCAATTCCTACCTGAAGCATAGTGTCACAAACGATGTAAACAAAAAATGTGAGTAACGCAAATCAGTCGTATCAACATACATGACGTGCGCACCAAAAGCCAATTTCCAACGATTTATAAAAAAATAAGATTATATTCTTGCGTTTCTATAACCAAAAAAGCGACCTCTGCAGGACATTTTGATCTCCTGTCGATTCAACACTTTCGTGTATACTGTACATTTAAGGCTACCGTATTTGTATTTATGATTACTTTAATTCCACAGTTTAGGGATATTACCGTAATTTTGTACACACGGTAACTAGTATTATTGTACAACATTTATCTGAACTGCATGTCTAGTTCGTGTCTGTCTTGTAGTGACATACTAACAAGAGATAACTACAGTAGGTCGTTAAAATGCGTATCACAGGACTGAACTAATGATTGTCTTTAGATGATCTAATTTACCATTTACGCAAATAGAAATCTATATTATAATTTACAGTTGCATTGCTGGTGACGTTCTGAATTACAAGATTAAAAACAATGGCAGTCGAGGAGGTTTCATCCGACGACATATACATTTTTATGCATAGGCAATACGTGGAAACCCCGGTTAAAAGGTGAAAAAGCAAACCGAGTTACCATCTAGTAACTCCCTTAAGCTGAATATATCCGAATCTCCAGACTTGACCTCTTTCCTATGGACAAGGATCGGATCGCCGCAATAGTTGACTAAACGAGAATACAGGGAGACTGGCCACCGACAGCAGACCAGCGAATGTGCACAAGGAGCCAATCAGGGCTTCAACGCTGTAATTCGCCAAAGATGTGTTTTATGTTTTTTTTACACTATTGACAAAGCAGCAACTCTTGCTTTGTTGTTCCGATCTATAATCATTTACTTGCTATTTAACTTTAAAAAGGAACAGGAAAACATTTCAGCCTGCATTTTGCAATATATTTTCACAGATTTTCAGATAAACTGGTGATTTGAATCTTCTTAGATTGTGCATATATATACTGTACAGTACAAATACCAAAATTTGTTTAAGATGTTGATGCTCAAATATTACCATCAACCACTTGCATCACATAAACATTTTAATCTTAACAATAGTTTATCTCAATGCGTGATACTGATTTATAGCGCCAGTACCTATTTTAGCGTACTAGATACAAACTGTTCATGTTTCATGTTCGGAAATACAAAAACAAAACTCTTGAGTGGTATGCATACGATAGTTTGGAGTTGAGAATAGGCAATTCCCCAAAAGCGTCCAGAAAGTATAAAGGTAACGACAGCTGATTAGGTTGTAAATATCATGAAGTAGACAACACTTTAGTTTCTAAATTATCGTAGTTCTACACAAAATTGTTTTTTGATGTACATGTATTTCTTGTCGAAGCACTAGTTCGTTTTAAATTGGATAGTCTTACAATTTGTTTTGGGGGAGGTGGGGTTAAACACTACGTCCGTGACGCTGTTGTGCGTGAATGGGACGCAGGTAGGGGGGTTCTGCAACTTTGTTAGTGAATCAAGCGGTCGACAGCAGGACTGGAATGTAAAATTGGAAAATGTAACCACGTTCCTGGAATTCAGCTGGAATTTACAATGATAAAAATGGAATTGTTTGTACAAATTCCGAGAAGAATATTTTGGAATGGACTTCTTTTCCAACTTATGATCAAGCTTGCAATCGGAGGTAATTGTCTTAACTCCAGTTTTTTCCTAAGGAGATTCGGGCGACATTTATACATTTTGGATTGTGTTTATGTTGAGAGGATACAGTTACAATTGTTGGCAACTTGTTACAATTATTACAAGTTACTTTAGTTTATAGAAAAGCGCGAGTGCACCCCAACTGCAGTGATTTATATTTCAAGATTGCGATAGAGTCACTTTGTGCATTTTAAACATGTGGTTGGAAATTTACTTTAAAATGATAACGTTATAATGACCCTTTTAATGATTTAATTCCTGAACAGTTTGCATAAAGGGATTTTGTGGATTTTGAAGAACATTCTCCGGGGTTCCAACAAAACCAAACAAATTGATTTACGCGATGTGATGTGTAGTCTGATCTAGGAATATTTTTATATTTTCTTTAAATTATTTAAAATGATCTTTTAAATAATATAATTATATTTTAATCAATAGGACTCACTTATCGTTTTAATGGCCATATTTGCTGTTCCAAGGATTGCTGCTATCAATTCTATTTGTTAATGGATCAGACAATATTAATGAAAAAAGAGAATGATTATTTGTGGTAAATCTGTAATTTTGGACGTGTCAATCAATTCTTTTGATTAGAATGTTAAAATATCGTATCTTTTTGCAGAAACAGCTTCTTTTCTGAAGCTTGTAATAATGGTCACTACTATACTACTATGCTTTTCACCTAAAGGTAGTAGATCTAAAAATGAAAACACCTGGATAAATGGTGTATACTTGGGTTAAGACCCAGGATGTAACCCATGTGTATTGAAAGCAAGGTCTTACATACAGATGTAGCTCATTTGTTAATTAAGCAAAATGAAGTGCTGGACAGGCCTGTTTTCCTGTAGTGCTTGCTGCAAGAGGAGATGTCAGTGACTTTGAAAAATGGGTGTTACTTTGAGTGTGTTTGCAAGGAGCTTCAGTGAATAAGATATCTCAGCTTGATGATGTTTCAAGAGCAATTGCTCTAAGGTGATGTCAACAGAAGGGAAAGATATCATATGCAAGGGGCAACAGTGGACAGAAGGGCATACTCCAGGACTGTGATATCTGTGCAAGACAAAACAGAGTAGCAACTGCAGATCAGTTGACTGCATATTTCAACCTGGGGTTTGAGCTCCCATTTTAAGCAATAACAGTCTGCTGAGAATACCACAGAGAGGGGATACCATAGTCAGGTTGTACTGCACAACATTCATCACACCTGGTAATGTACGTTTGTGAATCCAGTGGTGGAAAGAGCATAGACACTTTGTTGATGAGCAGTGGATAAACATGTGGTTACATGAATCATCTTATGTTCTTGGCCAAAAAATGAGTGGCACCCAACCTAAAGAATTCTACAGCCTTGAGTACCTGGTTCCTAGGTTCCTAGCACTGAAGGGTTCTGTTGTGGCAATGCTGTGGGGCACAATTATCTGACATGGTTTGGATGCACTAATTTCATTAAAAGGAAAGATCAATGCTCAAGTCTAATGGTACTGAGCAATTATCTTCACTCCATGTTGTAGCATTTCTATAATATGTCTACACCTTGCCACATTATATTCCAAGAAGCCCTCACCCACAAAGCATGTGTTGACACCCCATGATTTGGTGAGCACGTCAAAGATGTTATCATGGCCTTCTTAGTTAATTTAAGATTAAGATTTAAGAATTTTAAGATCACTTTATTAGCTATATACAATTTCTTGCATTAGGAATTCGTCTTTTTGCATACCCCAGCTTGCTCTCCATGAGACACAGACACACAGACCGGGAGAGAAGCTTGGGGTCAGAGCGCAGGGTCAGCCATTTATACGGCGCCCCTGGAGCAGTTGGGGTTAATGGCCTTGCTCAGGGGCCCAACGGAGTAGGATTCCTCTGCAGGCCACGGGATTTGATCTGGCAACCTTCCAGCCACAGGCACAGATCCTTAGCCACAGTGCCACCGGTCTGCCCCAATTGATTGGGTTACAAGATGTGAACCCAATCAAGCATTTAAGGGACATTCTGGAACATTGCCTGAGATAGCATTTTTCATCTCCATCAACAAGAAGTGAGTTTATTAATTTTCTCATAGAAGAATGGTGCAACATCCATTCTGCAGAATTCCAGACCCTGATAGACTCTATGCCACAGTGCATACAAGTTGCACTGGAACAAGTAAATGTTTATTCCATGTTGAAAAGAGAAGAAAGGAAACACAACGTTTCGGATGTGGAGACTTCATCGGGTGATAAGTTGCACTGACTGCACTTGGTGTACCAATGACCCATTGAGTGACTTTACATTAGTGTTTCCTGTTTTTGTCCACAGCCTGTAGTTCAATGTGTTCAGCTCTTCTATGAATTGTGTACTAGATGTCATACCCACAATCAGGAGTTATATGCATGTTTTACTCAAATTTACTCAAAACACTTATTAGTTTTCTACTGTTTTAACAGTTTTGTTAGTTGTACAGTTCAGTATGGGTTAGAAGAAACCAGGAATATCATTTTGCAATATGAATAATTAATTAAAAAACTATAAATAAACTATAAACAGACAATATAAAATAGTCTTACATAATCCATCACATCTGGCAATCAAATTGAATTATCACTGACTTTCATGTATTACTCATCATTAACATCAATGATTTCTTTTCAGACAAAGGTACAGTAAAAGGCTACTTTTTGTACTTATACCACTATCAGGATTAACTGTTAAAATTGATAAAAATTTTAGTTGTAAATCACCACTGAATGGTATTTTGGAATTAAGAAGGAAAAATTAGTTAAACAGTGCAAAATTTCTTAATGTTTTTGTGAAGCAGTGTTCATTAATTCTATTTGTAATCATCTCAGTGCTATTAGTTAAAGTTATTTGCATTTGACGTTAGAAATTAAACTTGTGAGGAATGTGAACTGTGTTTCATTAAGAAATAAACCCACAGGAACACATCTTTATGAGGCATTAGGAAACAAGACTATGTCCACAGCACATAATTCAGAACTGCTCTGCAGTGAACCCTGTTCCTATCCTTACTTAAATATTAATCTAAAAAAAACTTTGCAGAGATTACAAATCTCAGAAAAAAATAAAAGTATTTTGCTTTTTCTGTGATTTGTAATCTCTGCAAAGTTTTTTTTTTTGTCTTTAGAATCCCATCTGTCTGTTTTCAATAACTGCTTTATCCATAGAAGGTTATGATGAGCCAGACCATTCAGACACTTGGTATAAGGCAAGACTGTTTGCTGGACACAATGGCAATCTGTTGCAGGATACAAACTGATGCATGTACTAACACATGCATAGGCATTAGATTATGGTCTGGATTTACACTCCCTAAAATATTACATTTGTGAAAATATGGAAACTCTTTGTTCACTTTGTGCCTTTTTATCCTTTCATTTTAATCAGTGACAACAGTAAAGTAATATTTATTCCAATGAATAATATTAATGTAATATGTATAAAGTGCCTCCAAACAGTTAACTCACTCACTTGTTTAATCTGAGCACAACATTTTTTTATATATATATATAAAATAATAATAAAGTTTTTATCAATCAGATCATTTAAAAAAATAAGGATGAACATATAGACTTTCTTTTCTTCTAAAGCTACAGATATTTCATTTCTGTGGACTGTATTTTATTCTGTTTTGACTCAGAGCTTTTAATATAGAACCTGTGGAAACCTGCTGTATTTCCTTTACATGCCTATGTGCTTTTGCACTGTAATTTTGAGGCTAAAATAGACCTTCCAGTTAATTAAAATGAGAATAAAAGTGTGATGTTCTTTTATGTGGTTAGGCCTTTGGCACGTACTGTAACATTCCATCTAGTATGACAAAATCACTGTTTGTGGAGCTGTTTTAGTGAAGAAAGATAAGAAGTTGTTTTGAATTGTTTCTCATTGTTATACACTTCAATGAATTAA